TAAAGTATTCAAGCTTATTTTTAAAGTCTTTGCTATCGGGAGTGCTTATTAAAGAGTGTGGTCTTCCACAATTTGTCGAGTGTCGTGTTGATTCAACTTATCAACGTAAGTTATGTCGTGTTTTGTCAATCCCTCTTAAATTAATTTCACATATCAAGATTCCATCTTGTGGCGTTTAATCAATTCAACTCCTCATCTAAATCACCTTGATTGACATTCACGAGTTGAATATAGGTCAAGTAGGGAGAGTTTGTTGAGAGTTTAATGATTATGAATACTAGAGTATATATGATGTTTTTTTATCACATTAGTTGATCTTAGATTCCACATCATGAGAAAGTTTGTTATGGGATTTTGCATTCTATTCAGTAGTTATCTAATATCTTAGAAATCCAATAAACAGCAAATTGTTTCCAAATCATCTATTAAAGTAGGATATAAAGTAATAACAAGTGTATAATGTGAACTAACTTGGATAATATATCTCTTGAGTGATTTTAGGATTGATCACCTTGAAGCTGCAATGCTATATTACAAAAACAAAGTTGTAATACACATAATATTTAATCTAGTATTTTATGAAAGAACTAAATTGTTGAGAAAAATTAATCCCTAAAGTATGCACAATCACACCAAAGAAAAAGAATAAAGAAAAAAATACAAGTATTTTATGTGGTTCGACAGTGTGCCTACATCCATGGATAGGACCCGTAAGAAAGAATTCCACTATATAATATGATAGTACATCACCAATAGGTTAGTAAACCTATTTATAGAGAGACTAACAGAGTTCTTAACAAATAAAAATCTATAGGATATACATCAAATATTCTCCATAATAAATACAAAAAAAAACTAAAAAAAGTATCCCCAAAATATAAATAAATATTCCAAAATTCAAGACACATCAACAAATATTCCCCTTGACTTGAATTTCCTCTATCATTAAAGCAGCTAACCATCTCGTCGCGTCGTCTTGCCAATATGCCCCTACTGGGGCATTATTGAGTATCACATACTCTAGCCAAGTTTATGCTGCACCTAAACTTGGTATTTGATCCTTGAACAAAGTGACATCTACCATCAAATTCTTCACACACAATACCAATCATCTTATCAGCATCTTAACTCTCGGATTCCTGCAAATCAACTGGTCTCGCAACTGACAAGTTATATGCAACCAGATTCTCATACCTCTGTGGTTGTCTAATCTGTCTTCTCTCCCTGCCTGTTGTAATACTATATGGTTGTTGTTATCAGGTGCATTATCACCTTCTTAATTAAGATTATGCACTTCATTCTCTGGACCATTAGACTGAACTTTAAATTCTGTTTGTTCTCTGACACCGTGATTTGATTCTACTATTGTCTTCCTCTTCTGACTATCTAATGAAGTAGACTCATTAAATATCACATCTTTACTGATAATCAACCCTGAAGACTTAGGATCACTACACCACAACCTGTAACTTTTCACTCCAGATGCATACCCCAGAAATATACACGTCTTTGCCTTCGGCTCAAGCTTATCATTCTAACATGAGCATAAGCAGGACAACCAACACTCTCAACTGAGATTAATCAACATGTGACCCAGACCATATCTCAAAAGGAGTTTTATTCTTAATAGTTGTGGATTGATATTTATTAACTAAAAAAATAACAGTATTCAAAGCTTCAACCCAAAATTCTTGACCCATACCTGAATGAGACAACATGCTTCGTGCTCTATCACAAAGTGTTCTATTCATGCATTTTGTAATACCATTCTATTGTGATGTCCCAACACAAATGCGGTGTCTTATTATACCTTTCGTACTGTAGAAATCATTAAATTCATGATTGCAAAATTCCAACTCATTATCAGTCCTAAGATACTTGATCTTCCTCTCTGTTTGCTTCTCAATCATGGTCTTTCATTTGACAAATGTTGAAAATGCATCTTTCTTAGATCTTAAAAAATTCACCCATACTTTCCTAGAGTAATCATCAATCAAATCATAAAGTATCTGACACCACTTTTGGAGGAAACTCTGTATGGACCCATAAGTCAGAATGAACATAATCCAACTTACCTCTGGTTTTGTGCACTGTCTTTTTATTGAACTTCACTCTAGTCTGCTTATCAAACATACAGTGTTCACAAAAATCCAAAGCTCCTTCTTTATACGTATTCAACAAACTTTGCATGCTCAAAACGGATAACCCCTTATCACTCATATGACCCAAACGTAGATGTCACAACTGATTCTGATTATTACTCCATGATGCTACACCAGCTTCCCCTGAAACTACATTTTCCTGAAAAACATACAATGTAGATTCTAAACTGATTTTCATGAGTTCTAGAAGCTTTTACACACTTTAAGAGTACCATTCTCTGCATGATATTTGTAACATTGAGTCGCCAGTGTAGAAAGAGAAATTAGATTCCTCTTCATCTGAGGAACATGCCAACACTTAATATTCTGATAATACCATCAAACATTCTTAATCTAATATTACAAATCTTAGCTACAAATAACGAACTGTCATATTCCATATACACGATACCACTCATCTGCTTGTAAGTAGCAAACCAATGCATATGTGGACTGGAATGTAACATTAGAATCAAAAATCCAGGAGTTCTTTCTATGATCCGAATTCACATATAGAACTATCCCAACACTATTGCTATCACTATCATTAGAATTATCCCTATCGACTATATTAGTAGAACTCTCATGCTCTTTTTTTCTCTTCGGTATGGGACAATCTTTCCTAAAATGACCCTTCTCCCCACACTCAAATTTTCTTTTTTACCTCTAGATTTTGATTTGTTCCTTCTTTGTTCCTTCCCCTGCTTACCAAACCTTCCCCTTCTGTTCTATACTTAATAAAGTTCTTTTGTAACTCTTTCGATTTTAGCGCATTGCTAACATCATCTAGTGAAATACTAGCTTTCGCATACAGTAAAGTATCAATAAAAATCTAATAAGAAAATTGTAATGAACACAAAACGATCAATGCTTGATCCTCATTTTTAATCTTAATATCTATGTTATTCAGGTCTATAATTACAGAATTAAACTCATCAAAGTGTTGTTTAATAGGTATATCTTCACTCATTCTAAATTATAAAGTTTTTTCTTCAAATAAATGCAGTTTGTCAGCGATTTTACAGAGTACAAATCTTCCAGTTTCTTCCACACAGCTGAAGCTGAAATTTTTTCAATAATCTCTTGCATAACATTGTCATTAACGCTCATAAAAATCGCACATAAAGCTCTATCCTGCATACTTGCCTTTTTTGACACTCTCTTATCCTTAGGATATCTTTCTTCAATTGCTCCCCACAAACCTTATAGTATCAGGGACGATCTCATTATAATCTTCCACATACTGAAACTCGTACCACCATCAAACTTCTTTATCTTATACTTTGTTGATGTCGTATCGAATCCCTAGATTGTACACCAAAAATCTAAATAGAGAAAAAAATATACTATTAGAAAGCAAAAAACACTCAAAGAGTCACCACTGTTTAGAAAACCATCAAACACAACCACCGGAACACAACATGTGCCTCCACATGCTACCACGCTCATCCACACGCTGCCATGCGCTCCTCCACTCACTGTCACATGCACGGCCGCCAGCTGCCTCTTATCACTGCAAGAAAACACCAAAAAATGCATAGAAACGTGCGACTTGACGGATCTGGTAAAAACGCGTCGAAAACACGCCGAGAACGCTGCAAATCGAGCCTTGCATAAACTGGGTGCTGCCGCACTAGTTCGTCTTCTCCAGCGCGCGTTCTCCTTCTCCACTTTGGTTTTGCGCACATAGGGAGCCAGACTTCGTAGATACACCTTCGATTGTGAGAGAATTAGTTCTTTTGAAAATAAAATTTCATATTGCATTGTCCATTTCCATGAAAATGAATTTTTTCAAGAAAAAAATTGAGGTGTTATTTAACAATTATTTTCAGGTTATTTTCTCTAATAGATAATTTATGATTCAACAAAAAATATTCATCAATTTAAAATTAAATTGAATCCAACGATATAAGAACAAGTAAGTTCGTCAATTCATTCATTCAGTTTCAATCAAACCCAACTGATTTATAACTTTTTAAAATAAAATATTTTAATCAGATTTCTTCTTTTTTCTAAAACTCTCCGATTTTCAGTCTTCAATTCTATTCAGTGCTCACTTCTAGTTCTTTATATGTATGTGTTCTCAATCATGTTTGGCTCTACATTTTAAAGCCAGAAAACAATGATTCACTCTCTAACTAACTTTGAGATGGGGCTTTACCTCTCAAAATTGAAAACAAAGGCAACTGAAGCAAGGTGCATTGCAGTGCTAGCATTTCGTTGAATGAATGATCCGAATTTTGAAGCAATAAACTAGCTAGTATGGATTCATAAGGCCGAAAAAGGTAACTGGAGAATGAAGATGGTTTAGTAGCTATTAATGCTGAATAAGAGAGTCAGGCAAAGAAGACTAGGGTTTGGTCTTTTGTTACCATGGATCGGGCTAGGCTGGTGTGCCAAAAAATCTAAAAGGTAGCAAGCTCGTTGAAAAGTTAAGATTTAGGCACCAGGCTGGGCAAGGAAGTGGATTTCTTGGTTTGGATTAGTGAACCGGTACACGCATTAAATATATATATATATATTAGAATGGAAGAGTTACCTTCTCTCCATTTTGCCCCTCTAAAAAGTAGGACACTGCAAAATCAGTTTTAGTTACCACCATGAGACCAAGATATTAGGATGGAACCGCACATAAAAAAGAGACGTAGTTATATATTTTTCTGCTCACATATCTTTAATTCACGACTGCTGTTCCCCTACGTTCTGGTGCAGATGCCAAACAAAAGAAGACCAAAATGTTACGGCAACTACTTATCCAGTGAATCATATCAAAACCATTTTGGAATTTACAAGCACCACAAAAACAGCTCCGAACATGTACTGTTTCATTTAGTTACAATAACGACAAATCTTTTTACAGTAAAGAAGCACTTACTCACCTTCACAACTCCTGGCACAAGAGAAAAAAACAGAAAAGAAATGTGAAAAGCATTGCCAATTCTTTTTCTTATCACCTCTCTTATATCTTCCTTTTAACTGTCACCAACTCCATATTTGACCCGTAAATCCTGTGTAAAGCTTCAGCACACCAACCATGGCCCTCTTCGACTGTTGGCATTCTTACTTCAATCGCAGGAACAGGAGGATGTTGAGTCCCAGGCAGCATCACTCCAACTAACACTCTCAGTACGCTTAAAGAATTGATATCCATGCACACATTTATCTCCGGAACTCCTTTTGGTGCTTGTGGGATTCCCAGTATTTTGAAATATCCTAGCAGATGATTGTCTTCCACTTTCTTCCCTTCACCTTCGTAGACAGCAATAACTGCCTCTGTTTGGTTGTCACTAACAGTAGTGAAGACCAACTCTTTTCGAACTGGCATTGTGCTGTTCTTCGGAATAATGGGTACAAAGTTGTTTCCAGCAGCTCGAATTCCAATGCCAAGAGGTGTCGCCTGAATTGTTAAAAGATCCAAGCTTCCCATGGGATCAAAAATGCCTGAAGTAACTGCTCCTTCCAAGGCAGCTCCCCAGACTGCACCTTCCAACGGGTTGATCCCATTGTAAAGCTCATCCTTTTTACATATACCCTTGAGAAGATTTCTTATTTTTGGTATACATGAACATCCACCAACTAGTATTAGATCAGCAACATCCTCTACTTCTACCTTTGCTCCTTGCAAGCACTGAACAACAAGGCTCTCGCACTTTTCAAATATGCTACTATTTATCATCTCAAATTCCTCCCGGTCCACCACCTTACATATTTTGGTTCCATTTCCCAAGTCAACATCAATTTGTACATTGTTCTTGGTGGATAGCCTGTGGATAGCATCCTGGGCTGCAAGACGAAGCAAACTCAGAGCCTTGATCTCATTAATTCCATGGTTAGAGAAAAGACTATCTAAATTTGGCACAAGATGGCGCATCACGTTCTGTAGTATATCTTCTCCTCCAATAGCAGCTCCAGTTAAAGCTTTTATCTGGGAAACCCCTCCAGCTGTGGCAGTTACAGCTACATCACAAAACCCAGCACCCATGTTGAAAATAAGAGCAATCTTCTCACTACCACTTCCCATATTTCCTTGTACAGCCTGTTGCTGCTGTTGTGTGTATAACAATGCAACAGAAGTAGGTTCAGGCATTAATCTGAGGACTTGGAGGCCAGCCATAGCACATGCTCGATCAATGCGTGATAGTTGGAACCGACTGAATGAAGCAGGAATGCTTAAGACAACATTTCTTACGGGCCTTTTCAAATGAACTTCAGCCATGGCTTTTAGTTCTATTAGGAATATTGCAAGAACTTCTTCAGGAGTAGTGGACCTCCACACATTATTCACCAAGACTGCAACCAATGGGCGGACACCAATGCCCAAAGTTTGAACCAGAAAAGGAACATTACTGCTGGCATGAACAACTGGGTCAGTGTCAACTCTGCCTATCAGGCGCTTCATGTTGAACATTGCAGCTCCAGAAAGCATCTCAAGCTCATGGGAGAATGAGTTGCTTACTCCACTTGATGTATCATCATCTTTGAATATAACATATGATCGCATTATCCTCTGGCTTCTAGCGTTCTTAAGAATCTCCACTTGGGATCCATTCCAGACAGCAACACTAGACGTGTATGTACCAATGTCAATTCCAATAGCAGTTTCTGGATAAGTAGCAAAAGATTTCTCATTCCCACTTGTTTCATTATCAGATGCAACAGTGTATTCTGGTTCAGCCATCTCTGAATTCTGATGAATCCTTCAGCAACATACCAATAAAACTTTATGGTAAATGAAACAAGCATACATTCATTACAAATTAGCTTTTCTTTGTATTCATTGTCAAGAATATTTTCAGGAGAAATTGTAACCTCAGCTCATTCAACTTAGGACCTTCTCTTTCTATTTGTGAAGAGAGCACTTAAAGACAACAACACAGGAAAAGGGGAAAAACAAACAAATGAAATAGACAGAAAAAAGACATACAGAAAATTTCCAGCTGTCACTTTGTTTCTAAACAAGAAATGGATTTCAGTTTATACATATATAATCATCATCCAAGCATTATTGGAAAATGTTCTAATAATTTCCCACCAGGAATGAAACCTAGTAGGAAAACTTCCAGAGAACTGCCATCAAGGGAAGTCTGGGGCACCAAATCACATTCTCTGCCACTAAGAGAATGCAAGATGATTCCTAACCTATTCTTATTGCAGTTTAACCTATACTAATATTTGCATCATACAAGAGAATAACCCTCTATCAAGTCGGAAACAACAATTTCATTAGACCTTAGGATGGGAGCCTGAAGAATATCAAGCTCCTGATTTCTCTACTTTTGCATAGTCATCCAATCACAAATCACACAACAACAAAGATGAAATGATGGCCTGACAACCGAGGAAATACCATAAAGATTATTGTACTCAGACATAACCCAATCTGCAGCCGACCCCTTGATAGTAGTAGTTCTTAGGAGACACAGTAAATCTAAGGTGGCAAATAGAAACAAATAAAATTATCTGTAACAACTAAAACATCATCCTGTCAATGAAACTCTAGAAAGGGTACCTAAACTTAATTTTGGAGTAATTCACCTAGGTTTTTTAACGAACAATTATAAGGTACTATTATATATATATATATATGTATTTATGTATGTATGAAAAAATTATTAGGTACTTTTCTGATAATAGATTTACAGGGGAAACCCAAAAGGCCCATGCAACAATTTCCGTTGGTACCTAATTTTTTCAAACATACATAAATTCATATATGTATATATGTTTCCAGGACAAGCATCCTTTCTTCAGGGTTCCATTCATCATTAAATCATCTAGGAAATACAGACCAGAAAAACAAAAACTAACAGGAGAAAAAAAAATGGAAAATAACAGGAAAACTCTTCTTTCCCATCTTTTTATTTACCATTTCACTTCACTTTTATAGTCGATTGCAACAAGAACAGTTCAATATTCAATTCATGAACGTGTTCCGCAAATTCACGAACACAAATGACCAAACCTACTTTAATTACAAGTCCGTGATAGCTTCAATGAATAGGTCTTGCAGCGGTAAGAAATTTGATGCTAGCTAAAAACATAATAATACATTGATAGAAAGAAACATAAACACAAGCACACAAGCGTAAAACTCATACATATATGTGAATTCAAACCTCGAATTAACAGGCTGTCTCAAGCACATAACAGAAAGTAAGAACGATCTAGCAGTTAAACAGATAATAAATTCCTAAGCAGACAAATACCGACAGAATAAAACCAAAAAAGCAGCAAAAGATGACACTCAAAAGATAATCAATGCATAAAAAGCAAGCAAAACAATAAATGTACTGAGAACCAAGGGATTTGAGAGCTACACAAACCTGCTGTGGCAAAGCAAAGAGAAATGCGAATGAAGAATCGAGAGAAGAAAGTAAAGAAAGACGCAGTCGAATGAACTGCAAGAGACGAATTCCGTGAAGAAAAAGGGTGAAAGAGTCGGGGAGGGAATGAAGGTGGTCGCGTCCTAGAGTTTCCAGAGAGACGGAGAAAAGGCGCTCAATTTAATTATATTCCTGAAATGATTTCGAAAATGGATAATCCTGTATGTGCAGCTACACGTGATCAAAATGGAACTTCAAATTTAAGTTGACTATTTGAGATTTATCCAATAGAATTGAAGAGGCTGGAAAATTACGAGCGTTAGATGTGCGAAGTGGGAGTTTATGGCCGAAACGCTGCCGTATATTATAAAAAGTAATTATTTTAAATATAAAAGAAAATAGTAATTAGAGTTACTAGTGATCGCGAGAAGGGTCTGGATTCCTGACGGAACCACGTGGTAATTTCCTTAAAAGACGGCTGTCATGGCATAGCAGGCTGGTTGAATTATATTTCGTATGAAAAAAATGTAAGTTGAATAATAACTTATTACAATTATTCTAAATAAAAAATCGTGTGATATTTTTTGTATTAGTAGGAGTTTATTAGAATAAAATTAAATTTAGTTATTTTAATAAATTAAATATTATGAATCAAATTATAAGTTTATAATACATCATTATGAAATAACAATAAATATATTATTAACGATAAATGAAGTGTTAAATCAATAGTTTGCTAGGTCTTTATACGTATACATTATTGTTTTTCTTTTTAAAATCAGTTCTAATTTTTTTTTTTAAATTTCAATAATAATTATATATGAATGCGTAAGTATTAAGTATTAACCATAAACTTTAATTTTAAAAATAGAAGTGATACTAAGTATTCAACTTTTTTAAAAAAAATTATTTTCAATTTTATTCTTAAATTCTTTTTTTCATAATTTTATATTAAATTAAAATTTATTAATTTTAAAAATAATTTTTTATATTAAAATTAATCTCGAATTAAATTTTGAGTCCAAATATTACATAAATATGATAATTATTTATTTTAATTTGTTTATAAAAATAATTTTTAAATATATCAAAACAAAATTAACATGATAGTATCTTTTTAAATAGAGAGAAAGTAGGAGTAATTAATACATTTCTCAAAAAGAAAAATTCCATAATATAACAAGAAATTAAAAAGATGAAATTTTATGTGTTAAATGAATAACCTTCACACATAAATATTTTGTAATTCCAGCGATGTATATATATATCAAACTTTTAATTCTTTTAACATCATTTTTAGTATTTTTCATCTTCTCTAAGTAGTGGGTTTTTAATTTCGTAACTCACTTGATGTTTACTTGCTAAAATTTCTATGTATCTTCGGGCTTCAAAAACCCATTAAAATAAAATTATTTTTGGGCCTTCATAGTCCACACGATTCATTTATATTTGGATATTTTGTGTAGATTGATTCACTCATAAATATTTGTAAAAACATTATAAAATTTATTTCTAAACTTTGTTGAAGGAAAACATACCCAAAATCTCTCCTAAAATAATTTAACTTAACACTATATAAAAGTTAATGTGGAATTAGAATACAATACTCAAAATCTATATCTTCTCCTATTATATAGTATGCAAATCTTAGGATAAACATTTTGAGATCTTATATCTGAATGTAAAATTTTCTTTCTCTAATTAGAAATCAAATATGATTGAGAGGCATAAATGTCAAGCACCAAAACCGTATTGTTCTTTAGCAGCCCGACCACCATGAGATTTTACTCTAACTATTATATAGATTGATCAATTTCATGGAGTAGCAATAAGCTTTTATCAAATCTGTCATAAAGCTCTCTCTTGCTATGTCAGCACCATCTCTTCTCTTAACATTTAAATCTATCTCCTCTTTGATGACCCTGATCTTTCTAAATATTATTGAAGATGTATTAAACTCAAGAATGGAGGTGGTGGTAGAAAAGCATCAACCAAATGAGGCGATAAAATAACAACTATATTTGTGTTTGTACTCCCAAACAAGATGTAAATCCCTTATATTTTCTTTTTAAATAAAATAATAATATTTGATTAAAACATATATTTGTAATAAAATTAAAGTATAAATACTAAATTATAACCAACAATATTTTTAGAATTAAATTATAACATACATAAAAATTATATGACTTGATTACGTATTTGTCGTATTTTTTATAATTTTCTTTAGTCTACCATTTTATTTGATGTGTCTCTTTGATTTTAAGCAACTTGAAGTGTGAATTTAAAATGGTTAAGGACTACTTTAAATACTAAATTTAGCATGAAAAATAGAGATAAGATGTTTTAGGAATTTGAATGTTAGTAAAAAAGTCAATAATGTCATTAAACAATAGATAATAAATAGGTGGAATAAGAAATGATAGTGTGATTAATAGTCGATGACGAGGTTAAAGGTGTGAGTTCAAAATTTTTTATGTACCTAGGAGGCAAATATAATGAGAGTATTTGGGCTTATACAAGTGGTATAAAAATTAATAATTATTATTTTGTACAAAAGTCTATATGGGAACTTATGCGTGTAGATAGAAACTAGTATAAGATGTAAAAAAAAAAAAATGGTAGGTAAAAATGAGAGAATTGGAATGAGTGTTTACGAATTTATAAATTTAATTCTAATGTGTTGTTTGTTGAGTTAAAATTCTTGAACTCCTTATTTTTAATTAGTGACTTAGTTTATTTAAGAAGTGTCGGTTAATCATAATTAAAGTTTGGCTTAAAGTTGTGAAGTAATTATTTTAATTTTTGCCTATAAGATTAACCTTTGAAAGCGTTCTCGTTTACATCTCTAAAGAATGTTTTTATTTGATGGAGATTATGTGGAACCATCTTGTTGTCACAAGAGGTGAGGTGATAAATTCTTCCATCATATGTTTAAGAACTCTACTTTGTCTTTATTCAAGTATTGATTGATTCTTCAGTCTAAACAATCGAAGGATTATTTACATGTCTTTTTTTTTTATATCAAATTACTAAAGTTTTAGCTTAGTTCAGCAAATATTATGACAACATGTTAATTAATTTTACGATGCTTGAATACACATTGTTCAACTATGAAACTATTCTTTAAAAATATCTTTAATAGCTCTATTTTATGAATAGAATATTGTTCTTCAAAAGTGTATCATCATATAATAACTTTAACATTCACTCTATTATAAATGTAGTTATAGTGGTATTATTTTATTATTACTTGTGCTGCCAAATTCTTGAGAGCGAATTTGTACCCATGACCTCTCTTTTTGTGTACTCTATTAAGTATTGATCTATTTAGATGTTTAGTTAAATCGCCTTCAAAAATTGTATATAGTATTCACGATTTTAAGTTTTTTTTTTGCCACTATTGTATGAGGCATCTATTGTTATGACTATGTCTCGTATGAGTGTTACCTTCGCCGAAGTTTAAGATTTTTGTGGTGTCTTAAAAATGTATTTATATGGTATAAGTGCCTTAAATTATTGATTACTGTTTAATCAAATTTATTTATTTTATTTTAAAAAATAGAAGTACATTGAGTTTAAAGAGGACATGAATAGTTTTAAATAATTATGAGGAAAAGACAAAAGAAGGAAGAAGATTGATGAAGATAATGGCGAATCAACAAACGAGAAAGAGCATTGAGGAAAGTGGCTCCGGTTGGAAGATGAATTTCGTTATTTCTATGCATTTATGCATAGATCATGAACTGTTTTGATACTTTGGATAAAGATATTAACCGCATTATCTTTGGAAATAATAAGAAGCTAAAGACGGGAAATGCCAAAGTGACATTACTCAATACGCATAATGGTGTTGTCAAAAAGCTTGCTATACTTGGTATGCACCCACTTACAGCAACAATGTTATTTTATTTGGCTTGTTGGCACACTTATATTAGTCACGAGTTATTAGATGGATGGTGTAAAATTACTTAAGATGATAATTAAGTTCGATTGTATAGGGGAGGAGGAATCACTTGTAACATTTATTATATATGTACATATGATCTAAAGTTTCAATACTATAATATGATGATAATTAATATTTTGGATCATCTGTATATCAACTGGCTCTCTTGTTTTTTTTTCTTATTCTTTTCTTTCTTTTTTTCCCAGATAAGTGGTGTGTATATATATATACACACACATACATATGATATAATGAACTGGTGATTCTGTGGATAAAAAAAAAAAAAAAAGAAGTCTTGAAACAAATGAAACTCACTAGCAAACAAAGAATAAACTCCAAATACCAACATCTTCACTGCTTCCTCTTGTCCACATCTATATGAACTCTCCGACTCTCAGGCTAAATTACAAACCTCAAATTATATCACTACCTTCCAAATACAACCACTCCAAAGAACTCTCTAACGTCACCCTACCTCTCACACAACTTTCCTTCCTCCACGACACTTGGCAACACGACAAACACCTCTCCCATCTCAATGACTCACTACGTACTTATTTCAATATAAACAAATATAAACGTACATGAATATTATAATATTATATATGTATCTACTGTGCTCAATTCCCAACATCCAAAAGAAAATGGAAAGAAAAGAAAAAACTCTCACTTCTAATCTTCTCCTAGCATTTGCATGTAAGAATATGTTCAGAAGTAAATTTGACTTCTTACATATATAACACGACACATATTCTAAGCCAAACACTGCCAACGTCGAAACCTACGCATAAAAATATGTCAACCATATGCCATTCTTATATTAAAAATCGAACCTTTTAGATTATTAATATGCATATATACAGTACTACTCCAATACAGATTCTCTCCTCAAAATACTCTAAACCCTAATTCACAACAGTCAACGAATATCAATTAAAAATAAAGCACATAAATATTAAATTGGAAATGAAAGAGATCACTCCTATTTCTCTATTCATATATAGTACTTTTGGTTTTCTTGATGCATAATATATATATGTGTGTGTGTGTGTGTGTATTATATTTTAAGATCAGTTCCAATGCAATGTTCACCGTCAAGACCACGGTGTCTTTTTCCCAAGTTTCAACGACCCAAAACCCGTAGACTACCTTTAATTACTCAAGACCTAAAAAATGAACAAGATGCACACCAATTCACATCCCACCTCGTACGTTGTCTCTTTAATAAAATTGCCACTTCCATACATTAATCTTATTATTGATTAATGATGCATGCCGCACGTACGAGTTAATGAAATATTAATAATAATATATATCACCCAAAGATAAGAAAACAAAACAAATATTTTAATCAATATATAATTTATTAGTGCTAGTGCCATTGACACATGTAGTTAATTGTGGCTAGTAATTTATAGTAGTTGCCCTATGTACTGATCAGTCTCCTTGATCTCAAGCTTGTTTTCCCTTTAAAGCAATCAGAACCGTTGAGATACTGACATGTGGCGGCGTCTCAGCTGAGGAGACACGATGGAAATCAGTCCACCAAGTGGGGGCCGCATCTTTGACCTGTATATCATCTCATCGTACGGCCTCCTGTAAAATTTCAAGAATGGCAAGAACGATTCTCGTGACTTATCCGCCTTCGTGCTGAAGTGGTAATCCCTGCGGAAGAACGTCGCCGGTGATTGCAGGAATGAGGGACGTGGGGTCCTGACCGTCGTCTTCTCCGGCAAAGGAGTTGACGGGAACAAGCTCTTCCTTGCAGCCCTGGTATAGCTACTGCCGCGAGGGGTCCTGGCAGCCGGAGATGCGAAGGACAACGACCTGGCGTTAAGAGGGGAGATGAGAGCAGGGCCTAGAGGAGACGGGGATGTAGGTCCCACCTTGGAAGCTGACGTGTCGGTCAAAGTGAGGTACCAAGGTTTGAGTGAGTCGAAGTGGTGGGAAACTGTGAAGGAGAATCTGGAGGAGGAACAAGAGCCAATCTTGGCCGTTGATTTGGTTGACGAGGAGTCAAAACGGAGAGATGCGGCTCGTGGGTAGTAAGAGAAGTCATTGAACTCAAGTGATTCTTCAAAGTCTAGAGACGATACCACCATCGTGACCGTTGATAGCTCAACAAACGGACGGACGCCCTACAACCATATTATTATTATTATAATAATTATAAATTACTTAACATACACTGTATAATCAATCCCTTTGAAAAATGCTTTTCTAGGCCCTCAATGTCATGAATCTCACTTTGGTTTAAACGTTAAAGTTACTGGTGATTATCAAATGATTTTGAACCTGAAGAGATAATTAATTAAGGTCCCACAGGGAGAAAAGTAGTGTACAAGATTTGACTAAACTCTGATGACCCAATTTTTAAAAAAACAAAACAAAACCCAATATAAGATGGTCAACAGTACCAGAAACTGTACAACTGGTTCAACATCAGGACAAAAAAAAAAAGGTGAAATCACCCGATCATGATTAGCGTAAATCAAGAGATGAAGATTTGAAATTACCTTCCAGAGATAAGAGAAGAGAGAAGGTGCGTCAATGACAAATGCTTTGTAAAGACGGAAAGGATAGTAATCTCCTACGATTTTCAGTGTCGCCAGTAATAAATTCATAAAAGCCGATGCTGATCTGAAAAAGCCTGCATTTGTAAGTAATCAAACCATATTATTCTCCAATAAATCAAATTAAAGAAGATAAAAATTGATAAAGCCTGAGTAATTAGCAGAGCATGTGTAATTAATTATTTATTATTTGGTTGCAAAAGCATAACTACGTCTATTACGGGGCATTGTCAAAAAGAAGTTGGAGAATCAAAAATTTTAAGGATGTCTGGGAGACGACTGTTGAGATCATCGACCAATTCTAGGAAAAAGTGGGAAGTATAATCTTTGTATCTGCAATTCCCGATAATACCCCTGAAATCCGGAGCCAATAATGGGGTAATGAACGAGACACATGAGGGGCACTCCGGACAATTTTCTGAAGATGTTTCAGACCCTGCCGGGACTCCGACATGCTTTTGCAGCGTGCGATATACACCGCTTAGAATTACCATAAAGTATATACTCCGTTTTAATTGCTTCTTGGTTGATTCTTGAGGGATATTATAGTAATTAGGGTGTGAACTCACTTGCGTCAAAAAGTAAAACGAACTGCTCGACGTTTTTTGGCATGGTCCCTACCGCCACCTCCAGCGTAAACACCAGCAACCGAGTAAATCTGATTTCCAGTTTTCAAAATATGAAACCAAAAATATAATAAGTAAAAACTGCACGTTTTCCAGAGTGATTAACCCAGGAAACTAGAAAGAGAAAAGGGGTTGTTTGGCTATACTTACAGTTTCTGTGAATGAAACTTCTGGTAATCTTGCTTGATACGAAAAATCTGCAACGAAAGAATTATATCGGCTTATATATAGTTCTCAAACAAATTTTCAAAAATGAAAAAGGATTATACAAGGTATGTAAAATACCAAAACAGGTCTGGATTCTTCGTCGTGACCAGCGACGTAAGCAACTCCTTCAGCAAGTTCGGTAGAGAACTCATCTGCTATCAAGCTCTCTGAGTTCAAATCATCAAACGAAAACGAAAATCAGGATTTAAGATTAAAAGCAATTCCTTTTGTTGGAAAAAAAAAAAAAAGTTTTTGAGTTAGTGAGGTCAATGATTACTGGGGTATCAACTTTATCGTTCAATTCAAAAATGGAAAAACTAAAAAAGCAAGATTCCAATGAAACAAAACAAAAAGGAAAGAAGATGCATATAAAAAGAGAAGATAGCAGCTGCAAGAGCTTGGAAGGCTTTTCTGAAGCAACAAGAATGACAAGAAGAAGAAGAAGAAGAAGAAGAATAGAACTAGTACCAATGCCTAAGCTCTCTCTCCAAGAAAGGCAAGCCCTCAACAGCTTAGCAGCCTTCTTCACATTATCACCTTTTGCTCTCAGAAACCTCTCAACACAAGCGTTGTTGCAGAACTTCTCCTGTTTAAACATAATAATTTTCACACTTCAGTGGAAAACCTAGCTTCACAATATATAACGTTGAAGAAAACCATTAGCCAAACCCATGAATAGTGTAAGAACTGTTTAGACCAAAGAAGAACCAATAGTACTAAAAGAAGAGGTGAAGAAGAAAATATGGCAGCAGAGAAAGATCTGAACTAAGGTGCCCATGCAGTATGTTCATATTAAAAAGAAAATGAGAAAGAAAACAGAGAAATATGAACAGTGAAAACCGACCTGCTTGACAGAGAGAGGAGACTGTTTCCTGAGAAGATCAAGAACAGCTTCAAGTCTCTCGTTCCCTTTCTGATCTCTCTGATCTTTCTTGCCCATTTCGAGAAAAGAAACCAGGTTAAGATATTCTGAACAGAAAACAATGACAACAACTACACCACCAACAAATATACCAGGCTTGCTCTTCACGCAACCATTTAAAACTTTCACTTGCAAACAGCCTTTTTACATGCAGAGAGGGGGAGAGAGAGAGAAAGAGGGAGGGAACAGGTATTTGAAAACTGCGAACGTTGAATATTGTGAAGTGAAAGGATTAGAAGAAGGTGGCTATATATAGGAAAGTGACGGCTGATAACGGCGTTATGTAGCAGACAAAAAAAATATTTAAAGTGGAAGAGAGGTTTCAACTTTCAACGTCAAAACGGGCTTATAGTCATGCCATCCTTGTTATATAATTATCAACATCATCATCATCATCATCATCATCATCATCATCATCACCACCATGCAAGTACTAATTGAAACGTCGGCGTATTAAAAAAAAAAAAAAAGGAAAACCCACAGCACGCAATTAATCCGTTGTAGTCTAATTATTAGAACTACTTTTTCTTTTGTAATGTGGAAAGGGATGGAGTGGCAGGAGTGTAAATAAAGTGAGAAAGTAGGGGTAATAGTGGGTAAAGGGGAGGGGTCATTGTCATAATTAGAAATGAAATGATGGGGCGAAGAGGACTAGGACCCGTGAACGGACATTTCGGGATAATCAGAGTTAATGTCCAAAAATACTAACACTTGTTTTATATATGCTTTTTTATTTATTTAGAAACGGTGCGTTTTGCCTTTGCCGTGAAACCAAACAAATTGGTTCCTGTCTCTATTTGGTCTCTGCCTTCCTAAAGGGAACCCTAGTTGTTTGGTCTACCGTGTCATATTATATATATTATAAACGACTTTATTTATTTATTTTTTTTTAAAAGGTTATAAAATGGTTTGTCTTCAATTATTTTAATAAATTTTTTTTTAAAAAAAAAAAAGAAGAAAAATTAAAATTAAAGCTGCGTATATGTTTTATTGTTTTTTTTTTTAAAGGCAATTTTAATATGTTAGTATTTTAATAATTTCTTACTACACTTTAATTCTTAAATTCCTAATTTTCTCTTTCTCGAAACGTATACTGTATATTTACAAACTTAAGGAAGGACAAAACAAGTATGCGCAGTGGAGTAAATTAGCCCATCAATTAACTACATAAAATTAGATTAATTTTAAATTGAATTATTAATAATATTGGTCCCACAAGTCAAAGCCAACTTGGTTGGGATATTTTAAGACCTTTTCGTTAAATGACTAAAATATCCCCGACATTCTTACAATGATAAAGTCAAAAACAGGTAGGTAGTATTACGGTGCACCAAACCACACCGGATCATCGGATAATTAATTATAATTAATAAATGGGTAAAAGAGATTAGGGAAAGCGTAGTTTAGGGTGATAAAATTGGGTATTCCAAAACCTTTTAAAGTTAAATGGGTGTGTTTCATTTGTCGCCATTCAAATATGTGAGAGATTCTCCTTTTTCTATAAAATAAAAATAATTAAACACAACGACTTTCTTTCTTTTTAAAATAAAAAAAAATCTTTATTTTCTAGATAAAAAGTAAACGCAGTTTCAAATTATTTTTATGTTTTATTAATTTTGGCAACTATATATATATATGTATGTATATATAATATGTGAGGTTGGCGAGTTGGGTATAAGATTATGACTTTGGGATATGATTTTGTTTGCCTCATGCACCAACCCACGTGGCATCATCCCAAAAATAAAAATCCTACTATAAACACATATAATTACATTATTTTTCACCTACCCTTTTTTCAAATTTTGAAACATAACCAAATCTCCCTCCTCCTATCTGCTGCATGCTTCATCATTCACCACCCCACACACACATATTGTAAACGATAACAAGTAATTCAAAATCTCTGCCTTTTTTCTTTCTATCCCTATTGACTTATGAATATTAACCAACAAATTTATATATTAAAATGAAATTATGTCGATGAATAAAGCTTTAATCCGAAGCATAGACTGAAATAGATCTATTTTTTATTTTTAAAATATGTTATTTATAAAATAAATAAATATCAAACGATGTTTGATTTGATATAATCTATATTGAACATGCTCTATTCAATTTAGTTTTTTTGTCCATATTGAAAAATACATACTTCGATTCTTTTTATTAAGAAATTTATTATTTTTGATAAATACGTCTGTCTTTTATTTTTAATTTTTATGTGCTCAGTAACTATTAAAACTAATAATTTTAATTAATAATATTTCAATTTATATTATATGTTTATTTATTTTCATAGAAAAATATGCTCAAGCTTATGCTTACTATATTATATATGTATCTTATATTTTTATTTCTTGTATATTTTAACTATAATTATTTATTTATTTATTATATATTTCATACGAATAAAAACTATATAAAATAAAAACCTTTTGAATAAAAAGATAATTG